GCTTCCAAATTAACCCATGCTCCATTTTCATTCGCTTTGCGAATACGAAATTCAGTAAATAAATAGCATTTTGATAAGTCAATATAATTTTGACTGGAATGAATTTTGAAATGATAAGGTGTATCCGTGAGTGGATTGCTAGTCAAAATTTCAAAAACTTTAGCTGAAGATATACTTACATTTGTAGGAGGAATTTCAAAAAAATCAAGAGCGTTTGTAACTGAGTTAATACTATCATTGTCAATTTTATGATATGCCATTTTAAAAAATATTTAATATAATCCAAATGCGTCCGATCTAATTCGTTTTTTTCCAATAACTATTTTATGATTTGAAATTTCTCGTTTTCGTTTTCCTTTTATACTCTTTTTAGCCGTGTGAGATTTTGAAAATCCCGTTCCGAATTGCCGAGGTAATCCTCCTTTTTCTAACACATTATCTATTCCTTTTTTTCCTTCGCTAGTTATTGCACTTTTTATTGGTTCTCCTTGATTAACACGTTCAAGAACGCGATGACCTGTGTTAAGGGCTTCTGCAGTAACATTAGTTCCTACACGCTTGACAATTGGAAGGAAAAAACGCCAAAGTCCTCTGAAAACATTGCCAATCCCCGCTCCTCCTTGTAATCCATAACCTCTTTGAAATGGGGAAGATCCTCTAAAATATGAATAATTGTTTTCACCACCAATACTTTCTAATCCTCTTCCATTTTGATCAAAAAATTTTTGAGAATTTTTCGGCGAGAAAAAATCATTATAACCTATTAAAGAAGTATCAAAAACAACATGAACCATTTTTAAAAATTTTATTGATTAAAGTTAAATGAATAAAATAATGAGAAAAATATATAAAGTCAAAGCACTTATATAGCAACGAGAATGTCTGCTTAAAATTAATCACTTTTTTGAATATTAATACCACAAGAACTGTTCCATAGGAGAAAGGGACAAGTCTTCCATTATCCATTGTTCGCAGCTCAATTTCAATTTCGTTTATTTCTCTAGGTAGTACACGCGCATAAATAGGGGTATCGTAAATCTTTTCATTATATTCACCAGGATTAGAACCTGCAACAGAAACTACTCTTAAAAGAGAGCTTAGTGAATTTCCGATAATCATATTTTCCGTCAAGCCTTTTACATACACCGCGAAACTAGAAAATCCTCCTCGAAGTAATTTTTGGCGGAGACAAAACGGTTGGTTTATCCACTAAACCCTTGGAGGTGAAAATTGAATCTAATGCATTACTTTGATGTTCAAGCGTGGAATTAAGAAAATCTCGCAATTTTTCTACCTTAATATGAGATGCTTTTGGTACCGGCACACGAAGCACCTGTTGTTTATTTAATTCATCAAAAAAATTTATTTTTATCCACTGATCGTCTAATGTGCCGATAGTGGAAGGCCATGAATATGGATAGCTAATACTGTGCAAACCGCAAACCCAATCTCCGTTAAAATATATTGGTTTAGGAAGATGAACTCGAAATTTATTGGGTTGATTATCTGGGTAATCAGATACATTACTTGGTAAAAACACAAAGAAATTGTTTGACATTTTTATTAATAAAATTAAAATGATACAAATAACAAATAGGGTAAATATTTATACTAGCTGCGACTCAGAAATCCATTCCCTATCTGGATATCCTATAAACTTAACAAGTAGTTCTTTTGCTCCATCTGCTCTTTTTCTTTTTCTGTACACTTTTTCTATTCTATACTCTGTCTCCTTGTCTTTGCGCACTTTAGATAGTTCATGACTGTAAAAAGACCCTTTAAATTTCTCTCCTTTATCGTCCTTAAGTTTGTATAGTAGTGGAGTAGATTGATCTTTAACCTTATCCACTTCTAGTATTTCGTCGCTCCAATTCGGTAAATAGCCCTTATCAAACGTTCCTTTTCCAACACTCATTCGGACAAAATCTCCTTTGTTTAATTTTGATTTAGAATTCTTGTTTTTATTTGAGAAAATTCCACCATACATTTTTTGCCAGATTTCTTGAGCATTCTCAAAATTAATGTCAATTGGCCGCATCCCATGCACTCTGCAACGTGATTTATTAATTCCGTAAACAATTTTTTGTACAATGTCAATCCATTTCAAAGTTTTATTTTGCGAAAAGTAACGATATAAACGCTGTTTCAAATTTCTAATAGCCCTTTCAGCAAGTGATGCTTTAACAGATGAATGAGTAGCTTCATGCTTATCTATTTCCTCTTTTTCAAAGTATTCCTTAAGTTGGCGATTCTTAAATTCAGTTCCTTTATCAGAGAAAATTCTGTGCGGTTTCATAGGCATTTGTGAAATTAATTGACGAAAAGATTCAACCATATCATCTGATTTCTTAGATTTTAAATTAACAGTAAAAATTCTCTTGGATAAAACATCAATTCCTACTAATAGATAACGATATCCTTTGTTATGCCTGGATAATGCTTGTAGATCAGCTAAATCCACCTGAACATCTGTCATAAAACCTGCAGCAATAGTTCTACTTCTCGGAAATCGCACACGTTTAGGTCGCATAAGTGTATATGTGCGATGACCCTCCAAATAATCTTTAATAACATTTCTTGGAATATGTTTGAATGTTTTCCTAGCCTCATACCATAGGCTATCAATTCCTGAATAAGCAGCAGGTGATTTCGGATTATTGTATAAATCATCAAGTAATTTTATATAATCTGCCATTTATTCTACCAAAGCTTTGGTTTAAATTTATTTATATCCGACTGTGTCGGTTTTCTATCTGCCCATTTATTTTTTAAATTTCTAATCTTTATTCTTTGCATCCACAATTTAGCAGCCTGTTCTGAAGCCTTTTTAGAAACTGGCTTTCTATATCTTTTTAAAGCAATCTGATCATCACCTTTATTATCCTCAATTTTTCTTTTAAAAACACCACGAGATATAGGTCTATGAGGCGAGATACCATTTCTTTTGATATTCTTACCGGGAGGTTTACTTAGTTGGTTTAATCGTTGTATTTCGTAATAATCAAGAGGGACTTTTTGTTTTATAATTTCATTTTTTCTTTGTATAAATTTCCTTTTTTTATCGATTCGAAGGGCTTCCTTGCGTCTTAATTCTCGATCATTTTCTAATAATTCTTTATCCCTCGCTTTATCATGTTTTTTTATTCTTTTTACAACATTAAAATCATCTGAATCATTCTCTCTCTTTGAAACAGTGAGTGGAATAGGGGGAGAATTTCTTAAGGGTGCAGAAACTGCTGCTGGTTCATTTATTTCTTGTTGTACTGTAGGTGTTACAGTCACTCTTTTCTTTTGTTTATTCCTTTTAAAAATAGGAATTTTGGACTTGGTTACTTTGTTTAATTTTAACTTTTTTGAAATTTCTCCATTATTTTGTTCACGCCTTTTGAGACCATGACGAATTATTGTGGGTGATAGAGACAAACCTTCATTTAATAAATTTTGTCTATTGCTGGGCAAGGAAGCAAGAGAAGGTGATTCATGAAGTGGAGGTACAATATTGTAAGCAAAATTAGGGGGTTCTCTAGGATAGGCTGAATATGAGAAATCATCACTAAGCCATATATCATCATTTTCATCGTTATTTGGAATATATGAAGATGGTCGAGAACGTGTTTTTGGTACTACTACACCTTTTTTATTAGCTACCATCTCAACCTTTACTGGTTTATTTTCACGTTCATTTCTCATATGTAAATAACGTCTTAACTCTTGGTTATAGTGAACATTTTTAGCAGACTCACTTTCCCGCTTTAATTTTGATTTTTCTAAATTTCTTCTGGTAAAATCTAGATTAGGTTCACCTACATCATTTGATGTAAGACCTCGATAAATCTCCTCTGGTACTAAAATAAATTTATTCGCCATTATCTAAAATAATATAATTAATGAAATATGAATGAGTGAAATAATGAATTATTCGGTCACACTATCACCTTTTATAATCTTTTTTCCTATTTCAATGAGGATCGGTGTAAGAAGTGCCGCAAACACTCCGCCAATGCCACTTCCTCTCTGAAAAACAGTTTTCCTTAATAACTTTCTCGCACCCCCTTCACTTCTAGAACGACTCAAACGGCGGACAAATTGAGCATAAGGCATGAGACGTTTTTTCTGCCTAGTCGTAAGCTGATATCTTAATTTTACAATGTTCAAACAAATTTCAGCTAAGGCTAGGAGTTGACTAGATTGCGCTTGTTTAATGATTCGACGTTGTTTACGTGAAGATTTTGTTTTTGCAAGAGTATTTAAAAATTTTACATTTTCTTTTATTAACGGACTAAACTCAAATTTATTTTCCATTTTTAGAAATGAAGATAATTTTTTCTTCGTCGTCCTTAAATATGTTTGTTCGAAGACGAAGATTGGAATCTGATGATGCATGCATATCTATTAACATATATCCATAGGGAATTTTTGTTGCTTGTCTATAAGCATCAAGAAAATAGTCCAGCTGTCGAGGAAAAAGTTGAACACCTATATTTCTAACAGCTAAGACTGAATTGGGAGATCTCATAATCACTATATATTGTGCATTTTGTCTTGCTACTTTTATTTTTTTCTCAAAAAGATTTTGTGTGACGAAAACGATACCAAAATTCTGATGATGGGATTTTTTGGTGAAAAGTTCGGATAAATATTTCTCTTCTATAGATAGCAATAAATCATCTAATATAATTAATGAGGGTTTAAGAAGCCGATTAATGACATCTTCTGTTGGTACACCGGCATAAACACTAACGCCCGATCTTTGAAGTTTGGGAACAATGCTGCTCATTTCACCAAAACAGTAGAGAATACTTTTTGGTGGAGGGTGTATAAGATCAGCGGCTTGGGAAATGAATTTGAGAAGAAAAGTACTCTTACCACTTGAACTAGGGCCAGAAATAATTAATCCAAAAGGTAATTTTAATTTTAAATCTTTACTTGAAAAATTAAGAGATTCCATTACAATGAAAATAATTAAAATAAAAAAAGTTATTATTAGTTGAATAATTAAATTACAAAGTGTGAGTTATAGAGGTATGATCGATTGGGATGTTCTTAAGAAGATTGTTCATCTCATCATCCATTGCAATAGCCTGTGCCTGCAATTCCTGAAGCTTTTCCCCCGGAATAGGAGTACTAGTTATAGCTTCTCCAATATTATCAAAAAATTCTTTTAAAACATCTTCCATTTCTTCATCAACAATATCTTCTTTCTTAATTTCATTGTTTTTCTCAATATTTTCTTCCTTTTCATTATTTTTCTCACTACTCTCATCCTTTTCCTTTCTATTATCCTCCTTTGAAATTTTTTGCTGTGCCTTGAAATTGGTTTGTGTTTGCACAGGAAAGCATTGAGGTGTTTCGCCATGCATGACATTGAAAACACGAGCCTTGTTTCGAATCTGAATTTTAAATATAAAATTATTTAAAAATTTTAATTAAATTTACTTTGAAAAAGCAATGCCCCGGAAGATCATAGATTGTATCAAAAGGAATAAAGATAGGACTTTTGATTCTCGAGCAATAAAATGTTACACCCTCTTTTGCCACAACGAAATCAAGTTCAGCTTCTGTTGCCTTACATTCACGACATCGACCAACATTGTCAAAAGGTATAAATCGAGGTGTGGAGAGGCGTTGAGAAGCAGAAATAGTTAAACCTTTATTGGTTACATTAAAATCTACTTCAGGGAGGATTTGTTGGATAAGAGATTTTTTATCGTTTATATTAATAGCCATTATTTTTAAGATATAACTAAATGATTTGAAGATTTTGTTAGAAATCTAAATTTTATTTTTAATGCTTAAATTAATTTAACCCCGCCTTTTTATTTATATTACTAATTTTTAAGTGAATTTAAATGAACGCCCATCTTAAAAAAATCTGATCTTGACTGACCACGCCCTCGAGAGTTAATTGGAAGTATAAAAGAATCTCGGTTGACTTTTATATTCATTTTTCATCTTTATTTTATTCCATTGAGGATATCAGCATACAATTTTCCTTTTAATATTTACTTTAATTTTTAGTTTATGTATTTTATGAATAACCGCCATCTCTCACTCACTTATTATTACGCAATTATTTTCTCCTTTTTTCATCGAGAATTAATTCTCATTTGAGTTAAGATATATTTTGCGATCATAATAATTTGTTTTATTTTTTGCTAATTATAAATTTTAGAAATTAGTTTAAATTATTCCTGATTTAATTAAAATGTCCAAGCAAAAACAACTCACACTTGAAGAGTGTTGGTCTAAGGATAAGCAAAAAAATGTGGGTTTTATTGAGATAAATTTTTTGAATTTTTAAATTAAGATTGACAAAAATAGTCAAACGGATGATATCTTAACTGATATTTGTCCATGGTATTTTTTTCATGCGAAGCAAGGCTCTACTGATATCAAAAATGGGCTTTTCCGCAACCAATGTACCGGCGAAATTCTACTTCCTGGTATAGATCGAATACCAAAAGTGAATTTAATTTTTATGAATTTTAATTTATTTTTTATATTAAGACTTTTTGGATTTGTATGACTGGGGAACAGGTCAAAATTTTTTCGAAAATTGAGGATATTAAGAAAGAGGAGGAAGAGGAAGAAGTGGTCAATGAGACTATTATTGACTCTGGTGCTTCATCACCAATACACAACTGGACCAACGACGAGACACCAGCAAGTCCGGCTCCAAGCCCTGATGTGCCAATGTATTATATTTGATTTAAATTTTGAAAATAATTTCTTAATAAACTCAATTTTTATTTAATTTATTTTTCCCTCAATTTAAATATTATTTTAATTTCCCTTAATTCTCTAAACCCTATTCTTATTCAACATCCTAGCTTAACGAATTCTCATCTACCATTCTTATATTTTTCTATTCCCTCTTTTATTTGTATTAAACGATTAAATTTCAAATAAACAATTTATTGCAATTAATTTTCTTCATGAAAATAAAAATACTAAATTTTGAAGAAATTATTAATTATTTAATATTCATTTTAATTCTTATTCATAAAAATTCACATTAAAGGCGGGTCTCCTCGATTTTGACTTCCTCTAACTGTAAATTATTTGAAATTATTTTGAATTATTTTTAAGTTCTTACCTCAATCTCTGTCACCTCCACTTTATTTGGATGGCAAACAACCTTCAATGGTTTAGGCATTGTTGGTTGACGATTTCGGGGTTTCCCAGGCTTTACTAAAAAATGAAATGAATTATTGTTATTTTATCCACAAATCACCTGCCACAGTTCCAGTGCCTTTTGAAACTCTGTAACGTCCCCGCGTCCCTTTCTTAGATAATTTACCACAACATTGTAAAAGACAAGTCAAAAACTTAATTAAAAATTGTTAAAAAGGAATCTTAATGTTATACCTGGATTGTCAAAATTAACCCCAGAAAGATTAAAATAATAGGAAAAATATTATCAGATTTTGGATTTTGGAGAAACTCCCCTATATCCTGAATGTTCTCATGCACACATTGTATAGGCTTTGTATACAAGTATGGCCTATAGCAAGAATTTTTTGGAAGAGGACAGATACAGTTATCCACCTTTACCCAAGACAGATTAGTAGGTAAATTTTCAGAAATTAAGGAAATATTTGTCATTTTTCAAAAATTAGTAAGTAATAATAATGAATGATCTGGTCCTAGGAATGTGAAAAAAGTTTTTGTAAACATACCAAACGTTGTCTATTTTTTATCTTTTATTAAATCATATATTTCCATATTCCTTTTGCATTGCCTGATTACCGCTTAAAATGAAAGTAAGAAACATGTGTGAAAAATAAAGAAAAATAACTAACAATACCCAGTAAACAAAAAAAAGCGCACTTTTAAAGTTTGCAGCAAAAGAAAAGAAAAACAAACGAAGGGAAAAATGACCCAAAATTTAAAAAAAAAAGGGAGAAAATAATTTGCGAAAATTTGTTTATGAAAAATAATATTTAAACATTTAAGTTTGTTTGCTTTAATGATTAGGGGTTTCCGAACAATTTATCTTTTTATGTTACCGCAAAACATGTTAAAAGGATTAGGGGATTTCGAACAATTTATCCTTTGATGTTGCCGAAAAACATGTTGAAAGGATTAAGGTTTGTTTGTTTAGGGCGAAGGTCCCGTTGGGTTAACTACTGTAAGGACCTAACCCTCTATCAGAAAATAATTGATAAAATCTTAATTTTTTAATTTATTGGGGTATAGTTTAACTTCTCTAACATGCCGCTCCTCCACACATAGATAACTTTCCTTTATACGCGGCTCATTTCAATCCCGAGGATGTGTCGGAAAAATTTGACTTTATTTCGAAATTTATATTTTTTGATAGCTTGTAAATATTAACCACATTTTTCGTAGTAAAATAATTATTTCTGGCCCAGCTCAAAACTTATTCAGGAAGGGGAGGGAGCCTTATATTTTTAATTAAAAGAAATTAAAATAATTTTAAATAAATTTTAAAGGATCTACGTAAACATATTTTAACAAATCCTGGCCCACCTCAACACGATTCAACATTAATTGCTTTACAAAAACGTTTAAGAGAGCGTGAACAACAAAGAGAAAATAGTAATGCTGCTGCAGCTGCTAGGGCAACTTTAATACCTATTCAATTAGTTAATACTACATCTAATGGAAATTCATCTTCTTTAGCTTCTCGTTTAAGGTAGATTTTTGGATACTTGATAGCATTGCCTACCCCCCCCCCATATTTTTCAATAAAATTTCCAATAATTTTCAAGTTCTTCAACAAATCAACGAAGAAATAACGGATTAGATTCTTCTCTTCGTCATCGCCATTCTTCCTCTGCTTTACCTAGTCGTTCTACTCAAAATAATGTCCAACAAAATTCTTCAATTAATTCAACCTTTCCTTGGCGTGTTTCTTCACTTTTGTCACCAGCCCCAGGGAGGCGTTCTGCTGCCGGTTTCTCTAATGGAAGGGGAGAAACTGGGCTTTTTGGTATGCCATCGCTTTTTCAACAACAGCAACAACAAAGTCTTTTCCCGGCTTTTTAAATATTTTTTAATGAAATAATGAATGGGAAAGAACAAAATTACATAATTTTTTTGATAATTAAAGGGGTTGGACATAAAAAAACAATTAATTGGATTTTAGAGTCGTTTGGGTGGAAAAACAATTACTTTATCATTTGTTAAAGATTAAGCCGACTTTCGTTATAACTCTCCCCACCCCCACTTCCACCACTCCCATTATCTTCTACATTGTATTGGGAATGGGGGAAAATATAAAACTATTTTTTGGGGAGGAGGTTAATAACGAAAGTCAATTCATTCTTATAAAAAACCCAATTAATTAATTAATCAAATACCCAATTAATTGCTCCTAATATTTTTATTTTGTTGTGAGCAACGAGCATAATCCTTTTTAATGTTCCTTATTTTTAAAAAGAAAAATCCCGAAAAATTGCCACGATTTATTAAAATATATCCGGTTATTATCAGCAAGCATACTATATACCCAAAATAAAGGCAGTTATGTATTAAATTTTTAAATCCCCTTACAGAGTTTTCGGATTTATATTTTTATTTTAGTCGGTTTTTTGGCTTCTAAAAGGATGGGAATGATTTAAATCTGGCTGTCTTTATTTACAAACACTTCCTATTTTATTTCTTTCCATCCCCTCTTATTTTAAAATTAGAACATTTTATCCTTTTTAAATCCTTTAATCTGTTAATTTTAATATTTTAAAGAAGTGATAGGTTTTTGGAGAAGAAAGAAACTTTCTCTGCCTGGTTTTTACCTCCAAAATTAGGTACTTCAATTTAATGGTTTTTAAAATTTGGTTGAGAGAGAAGTACCCCTCATTATAAAGAGTATAATTTTCTGGCCTAAGGGAGTATCTAAAAATAAATTCTGGTTGTAAATCCAGACCTTTTTATCCGGGAACTACTAATCTGAATTAAAACCCTTCAATCCGTCACTTCTTCATTTAACATTTTTCTCTCCTCTTATTTTCCCAATCTAAATATTTTTTTAATTCTTCGGGTATGCGAACAATGCACCGATGTGTTTATTTTTTCTTTTTGGATCTCCAATCCCATAATATTGTGTATCCTACAGAGAAAATTTTTTAAATGCTGTTCTTTTAATTTTTTGGTACAAAATTTTTGAATAAAAATCTGGCAAAATTTGAATTTTTTATTAAGAAATAGTTTTCTATCCCCAAAACAATACAAATTTCTGTATAAGTCTGTGTATATTATCTAAAAACATAACACAAGCCGTGACGTCATTTTAAAGTAATCAAATCTCGACCACTCCAGTAAATTTTAATTTAGCCGGAGTGTATTTCTTAATTGAGCTTAATTGAGTAAAAAGTATCTAAACGATAGTATGTATGTGCTTTTTCGAGAATAAATTTTATTAGAGAAACTTAAGAGAATTTAAAGTTTACAAATCAAAATATAAACAATATTTAATTGAAATAGGTATATGTATGTATATAAATATATGTGGCAGCAAATATTAAATATATGTGTATATAGTTGCTGATATAGTCATAATTAAAAAACATTAATATTTTTAATAAATACAAAAACACAAAAATGGCTGTGATATTAAAAACAGATAAAAATTTGTTTAAAAAAACAAAGTTGATTGGTGTTCTTATTTTTGTTTTATCAAAGGAAGGAAACTTGTGATCATAAATAAAATTAATTTATAATTATAGTTGTTTAACGTCGAGGAAAAACATTCGCTTTTACCAATTTAATTCCTTTATCATCCACTACATTAAAATCTTCCATTTTAAATATATAAATTGTTTTTTCTCTATTTAATTTCTTGCTTAAAATATCAACTTTGCTTAGATCATTTGTCAAAAAAAACTTAAAAGGCGCGTCAAAATTATCAAATAAAAATTCAATTCCCCCAACAAAAAATAAATTCATTTTCAACTCAAAACTTCCAATTTAATTCCCCTATCATCCACTATAGTTGTGTTTGTAGTCATTGGTTGTGGCTGCAAAATTAAATTACTTCCAACTGCTCGCAATGTATTGGCATTTGAATTATTAGCATTTGTTGTTGTTGTATTGTTGGAAGACGTAGTATTAGATGCTGCTGTTGTTGGTCTTTGACTTACTCCAATATGTGTACGTACATGTTTTGTTAAATGATCAGAACGCATAAAACGTTTACCTAATTTTTTAAAATTAAAATTCAAAATACTCAAAAATGTAACGGTCAGTTGTTTTTTTTTTGTTTAGATTAAATAATTTAACAAATTAAAAATAAAACTCACTACACTGTGGACAAGTAAAACGTTTTTCGCCCGTATGAGTTCGACGATGTCTTTGTAATTCATCGCTACGAGTGAATCGGCGTGGGCATGCAGGCCAATCTAAAAACACAAAATTTGATTGAAAAAAATAATTTTAATTATCAAATCATCAATTATTTCCCAATATATTTATCCCGAAAAAATATTTTATATTTAAACAAACCGCAAGCAAAAGGTTTATTTCCTTCATGTCCCCTCAAATGTGCACGTAAATGAGACGTTTTTCCATAAGTTTTATTACAAATATGGCAAATATGTTGTCTTCCCTTTTCTAATCCACCTTTTATTCCATTTACACAATTTGGACAACTACAAGCAATTCTTTTCGAGCCTCCAATATTTGTTATAGGTAATTGGGGATTAAATCCGCCATCCAATGGTTGTTGCTTAACATCGGTTTTAACTGGAAATTTTCCAATTTTTATTTAATAAAAAATTTTCAAAAAACCAATTTTTGAAGCGGCATTAGCACCTTGCATAGTTTTTTGAGGTGTTTTAACGTTCGAACTTCCACCACTATCATTTGTTATAATCCATTTTTGTGGATCATTTGGGTCTTGTTGGAAAGATAAATGTCCTTTAAAAAATATTTTTTTAGAAAAAAACAGGCAGTATATGAAAGTAAGGGCGGCATCCAATTTTTTCCATATTCCTAAAAATATTTATTTTTCTTATATTTTTCTCTCTATTTTTGATTTGTGCCGTAAGGCTATAAACGCAAAATGATTATTTTTCTTATAACTTGTGTGTCCGGGACCAATGTGTGTCCGTGTTGTCCGGGACCGTGTGTCCGGGACCGGACAACACGGAAAAATAATCCTTTTGCGTTTATAACCTTACGGCACAAATCAAAAATAGAGAGAAAAATATAAGAAAAATAAATATTTTTAGAAATATGGAAAAAATTGGATGCCGCCCTTACTTTCAGATAGGGTCAAAAAACATTTCAAAAACCTAAAGTAATTATTTGTTGAGACTTTGAAACCGGAGTTACTTGCTGTTGAGTTGATTGGGGCTGTTGTACTTGTTGTTGGGTCTGTTGTGGTTCTGTTTTGACTGGTGTCTTTTTAGGTTCCCTCTTCTGTAAAATGAAAATTTTTTTAATCTTCTTTTCAATTTAAACAAAATTAAAATTTTGGTAGTTAGGAAAATATTTTTGGAAGTGTTCAAAGCTTTTTTTGGAAAATTTGTCAGACTAACTTTGTTCAAATAAAATTTATTTATCAAAAAACCTTAGTCTGTGCTGGCACTTTGCGTGCTGAAGTTGGAATTGTTTGTGTAGAAAGACCAGTCTGTGTTGTTATACCAGCACTATTACTGACTTGGTTAGTTGTGACAGTAGTAGAAGCAGTAGAAGAGGTAACGACACCACCAGACATAAATTTACTTGGATCAATTGGTTGGAATTGAATTGTCTAAAAAATAAATAAAATTTTGAAATTGAAAAGGATTTATGACACAAAATTCAGAATTGAACTTAAAAAATTACCAGAGCCTCAAAAATCAACTTTAAAAAACCTGCACAGGTTGCTGTTGTTGTTGAGATGATAATAATAAAGGCTGTCCATTATTTTGATTATTGTTATTCTGAATTGTTTGACCAGCCACTTGGAATAATAATTGAGGTTGTTTCCCAGTAGAATTTATTTGTTGAGTTGAAGTACAAGGTTGTGCAGTAATAAGTTGAGTAATAGGAATAAGTTGAAACTAAAAAATTAATTATTTTTAACAAATATATTTCAAATATGCGAGAGAATGAAGAATTTTAATTATCAGAGCCCGATCATGAGCCGTGATATATTTTCATAATTTAATTCTCAATTTAAAATTAAAAAAATTTTTTCTTAAAAACCTGTTGTTGTCCACCATTTCCTTTTGCTGGAGTAGCTGCTGCTAAAAGAACAAATTGACCACCAAGTGCTGCAGTAGATTGGAATGGAATTGCTGATGTAGCGACAGGAGGTGAAGTTGTTGGGGTACTTAAATATTAAATAGGTAAATGGAATGAAACCAAAATGTTTAAAAATTAAAAATTTTTAATGTATTAAATGGGGTGGAATTCCCTTACACAACGATTTTTTCTTAAGAACCCGTTGTTCTTAAAAATTTTAAAATAATAAATGAAATAACCAAAAAAAATTTTAATCCAAAATTTTTAACCTATTTGTATTATTACTGCCAACAGCTGAACGTGTTACATTTTGTTGTAAAGTCTGTTGAGGTTGTTGTAAAAAAATTATTTGAGGGTTTGGACGTGTTATTGTTGAAGTTTGTATTCCTCCCGAATTGGAAACTCCAACAGAAGAACCACCAGCATTACTAACTTCATTATTGTTAACTAATTGAGAAGGAACAGATGTTGGAACAAGCAACTAAATTTTGAAAAGAAAATTAAAAAATTTTGTAGATAAAATGCTTGTAAAAATGATTGCCTAAATAACTAGACATGACAAATTTTGGAGGCAAAATTTTTGATTTTTCAATTTTAGTTTTCATTCGATTCAAAAATGTTATTTATAATAAAAAGTAATGAAAATGGATCTAAAATTATTTAAGGACAAGAGAGAAATTTTTAAAGACTTTAAACAAAGAAAAAAATTTTAGCCGGTGGTTCCTTATTCTCAATATTCGGCATCAATTTTGAAAAGTTTGAAAAAATAACTGCAATTTCGATTCACAATCCCCCAAACCACCAAATTTTTTAAAAATAAAAACCTGAACCATTTGTTGTTGGATTTTCCTTTGTGATGTCCCTGGTGTTTGTTGCTGCTGCTGTTGATTTGTTGCAGCTCCAACCATAATATTTCCACCAAAAGAGGCAAAATTTGAAGTATTTGTTGGAGAGATAACATTATTGGAAGAATTAGTAGATGCTGTGTTTGAGGTAGTAAATGAAATTGAAGGCTGTTTTGAATTAAAAGAAGAAAATAATGAAGATTGGGGAATTGATTGAAAAGCCTGTTGTTGTTGTTGTTGCTGTTGAATAATATTTTGTTGATTATTTTGGACATTACTTTGATTATTTGTTGATTTTACTATTTTAGGCTTTGGTGGCATTCTTAAATAATTATAAAATTATTAAAATTTGAAATGAAAAACAAAAAAACAAATTTTAAGAATTTGTTAATCAATTAAAGACGATGTTCAATAAAAGGATTCGAACCATGACCTTACTAAGAAGAAGCCTACGCGTTTCCCACTACACTACTTGAACATTGGTGTGAATCTTCTTATGGTAAGCTAAGTCTTTAAAATTTGAAAAGAAGAGACTCAAAAATATAAAAGAAAAATGAAAAAGGGAGGAGCGAAACGTTTAAGTCTTGAGTGAAAATTCTTAAAAGAAATGTACAAAATTAAAATAGGGGGACAAAGTAATGCAGGAATAATTTGATTTTATTACAAAATTAGGGTTTTGTTTTTGCCTGTTTTTGTTGTTTTTGCCTGCAAACAAGGATTAGATAGAGGTAATTTTGGAAAGAAAAATCCGTGTCCGGTTAACTCATCCAATCGTTAACTCATCTACACGGCCAAAAAGGGGTAAACTCATCTAAACGGCTAAAATTCGTTAACTCATCTACACGGCCAAAAAGGGGTCAACTCATCCAATCGTTAACTCATCCAATCGTTAACTCATCTACACGGCCAAAAAGGGGTCAACTCATCCAATCGTTAACTCATCTAATCCTTAACTCATCTACACGGCCAAAAAGGGTCAACTCATCCAATCCTTCGGAACGAGCCTATTGAGTACCGGCCGTTTGAGTCTTTGGCCGTCTGAGTCCGGCCGTCTGAGTCTCTGGCCGTTTGAGTCTCTGGCCGTCTGAGTCTCTGGCCGTTTGAGTCTCCGGCCGTTTGAGTCTCTGGTAAGTAGAGTCCATGACCAGTTGAGTCCATGGCTAGTTGAGTCCATGGCCAGTTGAGTCCATGACCAGTTGAGTCCATGACCAGTTGAGTCCATGGCTAGTTGAGTCCATGGCCAGTTGAGTCCATGGCTAGTTGAGTCCATGGCCAGTTGAGTCCATGGCCAGTTGAGTCCATGGCCAGTTGAGTCCATGGCCAGTTGAGTCCATGACCAGTTGAGTCCATGACCAGTTGAGTCTCAACCGGCGGTACTCTACTGGCCAAAGACTCAAACGGCCGGTACTCAATAGTCTCGTTCCGAAGGATTGGATGAGTTGACCCTTTTTGGCCGTGTAGATGAGTTAAGGATTAGATGAGTTAACGATTGGATGAGTTGACCCCTTTTTGGCCGTGTAGATGAGTTAACGATTGGATGAGTTAACGATTGGATGAGTTGACCCCTTTTTGGCCGTGTAGATGAGTTAACGATTGGATGAGTTAACGATTGGATGAGTTGTATAGGAGCCGAAAAATCTTAGAAAAATCAAAAAATCTCCACAGTTAATTCTCATTAAGATTAAATGCCATACATATGCCCCTCAAATGTTTGGATTAAGATCGGACTGGGAATGTCGTACGAGAATCGAGATCTTGAAAAATTCCTGATCTCTATAACCGGGATTTTTGAACGAGATCTCGGTCCGGTCTCTAGTTTGGATGTGGCTATAAGAAAGTCTATTACATTTACCGAACAAAAAAGTAAATCCCGCCTTATTAGGACCGCCAATAAGTAAATAAAAGAAAACAATTTCCTTAATCTCTTGGCATACTAGAGAGGATAGATAAAACAATAAAAATGTATGACCCGTCCTGTAGGGTAGTGATGTTCGGGAGAAGAAAAAACTCGGGAATCGGGAAACGGGAGTCGGGTCGGGAAATGACCTCGGGAGTCGGGATCGGGAGTCGGGAATTTATAAGAAAAAAATTTTTGGCGCCTTCGGCGCCAAAAATTCCGATTTTTTGTAATACAGGCGAAAATTATGAGAATTTTTGAAGGCCATGTTGTCAAATTTCTTCAATTTTCAGCGCCGCAGGCGAAAATTTTGAGAATTTGGAAAGTCGTAGGCGAAAAAATTCATTTTTGAATCTCTATATTTTCGCCGCTCCCTTTCCCCAATTTCGTGGCTTGGGGGGCTCTAGCCTCATGGATCGCCTTTGATGATATCATCAGTCTCAGCAGACTTGATATCCCTCTTAATCTCAAATCCTTTATCTGCGCCGCAGGCAAAAATTTTTTAAAGTTTGGAAGTCTAGGAACCAGACTTCTTCCTTTATTTACTGCCAGAGGCGAAAATTTTGAAAATTGGAACACCAACGAGCTAAATTTGGAAGACCAAAGAGTGAAATTTTTGCTCCCTCAGCGCCGCAGGCGAAATTTTTTTAAGTTTGAAGGCTTCGAAGCCATATATTTTTCACTTTCTGCGCCGCAGGCGAAAATTTTTGAAAATTCATGACTAATTTAATTTTTCTAAAGTTTTTTGACGTTTATAATAATAAAAAAACTTTAAAATTTTAAAATCAACTTAAAGTTAAAAACCATTTAATTTTGAAGGGAAAAATTATTTAAATTACATTTCCCAACCCTGGATTCGAACCATGCCCCATAAAGTAACTGCAGTCACACAACCTAACCACTCAACCACCTTTCAGCAATAGTTATTGAGGAAAAAATTGAAATATTAATTTTTTATTTTCCCTTTTCCTTTTTTTATTTCTTTCCCTTTATTTTTTTTTCTTTTCTAAAATAAAATTTTAACAGAAAAAGCTATTCTTAGGGGTGTAAAAATTTCCCGACTTAGTCGGGAATTGGCATCGGGAGTCGGGATCGGGATCGGGAGGCGAAAAACTCGGGAAATTTTCCCGAGTCGGGAGTCGGGATCGGGATACCCGAACATCACTACTGTAGGGTGTGGCTAAAAATGTTCAGAGAAATTTAAGTATAAAAGCCAAAAGAATCGCTCCAATTCCCAATTTAAATTTTCCCTTATAATGTTAAAAATCACAACAACAACAAAACAACTATAAAAGGAATTTGTGCACACAAACATTATCAGAATCAGTCTTACAAAAACAGGAATGGGCGGAGGAGAAACAAGGCGGGAAATAGTATAATTAGAAAGACAGGTGAAATACTTCTTATTGTTAGAGCAATTCTAGAAGAAAATTGTGTAATGCACATAAAATTAGAAAGAGAGAGAAAGACAGAAATAAGAGCATTGATTGGTTAGTTTTACTGCCTCTATTTTTGCCGAGTTTTGAGTCATAATGGGAGGGCGTTGACGCCTAGGGCGTAGCTTTTTTGGTGAAGCTGGGGCGTTGCTGTTGAAGTATATACCCGCCCTCATAAATTTTGTTCAAAATTAGAGAAAGAGAAAGAAAAATTTAAGTAGAGACTAAATGGAAATGAGAGAGAAAAATGTAAATGGAGAGCAATAAATCTTGAATAAATCCTCAGAGTTGAGAGAAAAAATATAGAAGAGGCGGGGATCTTGATTAGCGGACAAAATGGCAAGATGAACAATAATCACCAGAATGGTTAAAATACAAAACGGTCAAAAGAACAAAATATGTCAAAATGGTCAAGGGCAAAAACGAAAAAAGTCACATGGAAAAGATAATTGTTAAGTTAGTGAGATTTAACAGAGTGTATGTAGAATGTATGATCCGCCGACAAGAGGGGCAAAAAACTAAACCAAGAGGTAAAAACCCAAATTAAAAAAATTTTAAAATTAAAAATTTCAAGATGCAGTATTTGAAATAAAAAACTATCAAAACTTTAATAATTAATTTCCGTTTTACAGCCCAAAAGTAGAAAAATTATAAAGAAATGGAGAGAGAATATATAGGCGGAGTGATTGCTCATAAGGTCGGACCGCCTTAATCGATGGGTGTGTAAAAATTGGAAGGGCAGTTCTTCTTCCTCCCACCTTCTCTCTCCCTCTCTCTTTTTCTTCCTAACTTTTCAAGAGGACCTGAATTTGTGGTTAAATATGTTTGGTATCTTTTTGTGTTATTGCGAGGATAGGAATGATATAATGAATAGTAAAGTTATTCTGACAAGTGAAGGAGGAGAGGGGGAAGGAGGGGGGGTCTAATAATAAATTTTTTGGTGGGAGGAGAAAGAAGAGGAAAAATTAAAACTTAATTTTTGATAGGAATTCTTACTTTTTATTGAACGTAAGAAGCAATTTGGATATGATTATCATAAAACATTCCCTCAGTAGAATTCCTGACTCTTGAATTTTCCATTTAGTATCAGTAATTTTTCACGTTATTGTCAATTTGTCCATTTTTATTTTTTAGCTTTCTGTCTGTTTGGCATTTGTCTATTTTTATCTTTTGGCATTTTGTCGTTTCTCGTTCCTATTGACAATTTGTCTATTTTAGCTTTACGTTTATTTTTTAATTTCGTAAATGTTTTTTTAAAGGAAAGGAAAATGTTTCGTAAATTAAAATCTAAAACTGGTGATAATTCTGCAAGAAATATTAGACAAAGAATTGAGGAAGAAGGAGATGCTCAAATTATTTCTGCTAAACGAACTCTTCCAGACGATAGCCAAACCGTCAATATAGACAACGAAGCTACTCTTCAAACAACTGGACCTAAACATACTGGACTTAGTTTTAACGAAGGAGAAGGTTTTTTTTAATTTTAATAATTTTATGATTTTCTTTTGTTTAAATATTATTTATTCAAAAATACCCCAACTATAACAGTTTAAATATTTTTTCAAACTTTTAGGTGATGATTTGGTTGGGTTTAAGTTGAAAAAGCACGGAACTCACGGACACCGCTCAGTTGTTGAAGCAAATGAGAGAACATTAAGGAAACAGAAAATGCTTGCAGCTAGAGCAGAACGAATAAAAATAGCAGCTGCAGATATCACAATAAAAAGAGAAGATGGAATTGATGAGGAAGAGATGACAAGACAAAATACGAAAAGCCCGGACGAAACGGTTTTTGTTTTATTAAAATGAGTAGAGTTTTTAAACTAACACGGAGAGGTTGCGAGGTGTCCGAGCTAAAAACGGTCGAGACCGGGCTCATTCGATAGAGAAGAGCCCTTTCTAGCAAGGATTCACCACTACACCACCGCGCCAGCAAAATTAATGCATTATTTAAAGTTTATATTTGAAGGGGGAAAATTATGGCAAATTTTGGGACTTTGGAGGGCCATATCTTGGCCAGATCAAAAAACGGGCAAAAACGGCAAAAAATCCTTGCTAGAAAGGGCACATTCTCTATCGAATGAGCCCGGTCTCGACCGTTTTTAGCTCGGACACCTCGCAACTCTCCGTGTAAGATAGTTATTGTTGATTTTTGTCGTTGAATTCGCGCTTTTACTATTTTTGGGTTTTGCCATTAGGTATCACATGTCCGGATTTCCGGGCCTTTTTAGTATTTCTTACATTAATATATTCTTTTTATAATTTTACAGACTGCTTCCCATTCCGAAGAGATTATTAGTGTGAACTCAATGGAAGATGTTCGGGAAGTATTCCCAACTTCATTTGATGGAATTCCTGATGCAAAAGCAGTCTATGAGGCACGAAAAAAGAGAGAGATTCTTAGACAGGTTTCAATTCTTTTTTTTTAAATTTTAATAAAAAATATTTAGAAGGGCGCTGGAGGTAATACTGGAGAATTTATTCCTTTGGATGACACAGTTCGGCTTAAGGGAAGTGGACAATCGGGTGAGCGGTCTCGTTTGGTACGTGAGGACGAAAATGATATGTCTGATGAAGAGGAAGGAGGGAGGTAGGTAAATTAGTTGTTTCTTTAAAAAATTCCTTTTTAGTTTTTATTCTGCCAAAAAACTGCTTCAAACTGAAGAAGATGCTCGGCGAGAAGAACAAGCCAATTTTTTGTCTTTGGAACAGGGTAGTAGTGATGAAGATGGAATGCCAATAAAAAATGGAAATAGGCGGAGAAAGAATTCGAAGAAGACTAAAAAGGCCGCTAATGAAGAAGTCTCTGATGCAGAAAATGAAGATGATGAATTACAACGTTGGGAAAGGGAACAAATAATGAAGGGAGTTAGTTCGAATAAGGTTTGGAAAAATATATAAATTTTGTCAAAAAATTCTACAACTCTTATTTAGGTAATGCAAATGAGAAATGAGTTGGCGGCAACAAATTTGTATTATCCTGAATATTCAAATCGTCTTGAAAAAGAGGGGGAAGGCGAAGCTGAAATGGATATTGAAGTTGATTTGGAAATATTGGATGTTCAACAACAAAATGTAAAAATCTCGCCTACGATTTCAAAACCTGATAATTCAACAATTCCAGGTTTTTTATAAAAATTTAAGGATAAGTTCAATGATTTATACTACCTCTTCTTCTAAGAAATTATTTTTTCAGAGTTGGCAAATGGCACAAAATCAAAAGTTTCCCTTGAACAACTTTTAAATGTGTTACAACAACGTCTCGATGAAAGAAAAGAAAATACCAATACAATGGAATTTGATTTGAAACGAACACAAGGGCAAATTGCTGAAAACACAGATTCAATCCATAAGGTTTTTCAAAAATTTTGTTTGTAAATAGGTCATATTTACCCGGTCATTTAACATTACTTGATTCCTTTGTTCATACTAATGTAAAATACAAAATCTGATTTTTGAAATTCAAATAAAAATTTAGAAAGGCATCTGTTTTATCTTCAAATATTTTTCTCTTATTTTAGCTTGAACATTATATCCCTCAATTAGAACATAAATTTAAAATGTTGCAAGATGTACGTATTTACACGCGTGATTTGCTTGATTGTTTAAATGAGAAATTTTTAAACATAAATGCATCGGAAGAGCGAGTAATGGAAATGTGGAAACAACGAACAGAAAGATTAATAAAGAGAAGGAGGCAAGATGTCCAGGTTTTTTATAAATTTATTTTTAATTAAAATTTTGGTTTAAAAAGGATCAATATGAACGTTGTGCGGCAAATGCAGCTGGTCGATCTTTCATAATTCCCAATCCTGAGTTTGCACTAAGAGAGACTGAACGTGAGGCTAGAAGGTTGTGTTAGAGGGTTAACCTATTTTTTATAAGTCAATGAGGCACAGATTAGAAACAAAAACTATAAAGCATTTTTTATTAGATTGGGCTAGATTGTTAAAAATAGACGCCTAAAATAATTCTGATTGTGAGCTTCTTTGTTTTGAACTCTAACTTAAAAAATTAATTGTCCATAATTATTTGTTTCATTTAATATTTAAAGAAATCGTCGTCGAATTAAACGAGAAAATCAACGAGTGAGTCAGAATTTATCAACATCTGTGCAGGCAATGCCATCAGGCAGCAACATCCATTTTGATGGCTTAAGTAGTGACGACGAGGAAACACAAAGCCAACACGTTTTTTATGCAGAAACCCAAAGTATTTTTTCACAATATTTTAAACTTTAAGATTTCTTTAGGTTCAGTAGAACAAAGTGCAAATGATTTATTTTTTGATACCGAAGAAGATTTTTGTCAAGTACAAAATATTATTTCACGAATATTAAAATGGTTAGCAATAGATGAGGATTCTTTTGAGAAGGCTTATGTTTCTTTATGTTTGCCAAAATTGCTTGGACCTTTTATTCGTTTACAAATGCTCAATTGGCGTCCATTAAAGGTTTTAAAGGATTTTGATTTTAACAACTGGCTACTATCTTTCTCCTTTCAAATCCCATATTCTACTAAAGGGCAGTCCTTCCCAATTTCAATTAACTTTTGACTGTGTTGTTCACGAAAGATTGTTAATTCTAGAGCCCGGCTCGATACGATATTTTTTGAAGGATATCGACCGACCCCTTCGTTCGGGCTTTAGTTAATTCAAATTAAGATATATAAGATTTTCTTTTCCCATTTAGAATGATTCATTGCCTTTACACTCCTTCCCTTGGTATAAACAATTATTGATGGCAGGATTGGACAATTCTGGCTTGGAAAATATAGAACATTCTGTTTTAGTTCAATTAATTCCTAATGTTGTGGAGAAAGTTATTTTTCCAAAAATTGCAAGTATAAATATATTATTTATTATTCACCTCCAAATAAGTTCTTTTTCTGTGGAATTAATTAAATTTTAATTGTTTTCCGGACTAATTAAAATTGCGGATAAAAATTGTGGACATTGCCTGCAGAGCAGAAAAAAGTTCGAATGACTGAAATAATTTTTTCATTTTTAGGAATTATCCGTGAACAGTGGGATCCTTTGTCTCTAAATGAATCTACCAACTTGGGGACCTTTTTGCGATCACTCATCGATGATTATCCAATAACCACTACTAACATTAAATCAAAAAGAATGAATGAAGTTTTTTAAATTACTTTTAAAAATTAAAATTTTCTTAACTTTAAAGATCCTCGATTTGTTGCACTCAAAATTTCGGGATGTGCTTGAAAATGATACTTTTGTACCTCTGTACAGTAAAGAGTTTAGTTTTTTTAATTGGTTTAATAATTTTAAATTTTTAGTGCCATTGAAGCAGTAGAGACAGGCTGTGCAGAATTTATGGATAGACAATTTTGGAAGTCTATAAAGGTGGGGAAAATTAAATTTACATGTTCCCTCCCCTCCTCCAAGTTTTTTATCTTCATTTTTCTTTATTTCTGTTTGCTCATTTAAAAAAATTAAAAATAATTTAAAATCAAAGATAATTCGCTCAATTCTTTGTTTTCGTGGAATTCTTTCTGATCTTTTTCTTGAAGAATTAGTAATGGAAGGACTTGTTAATCGTTGTGTAGTTATGTCTCTTCAATTCGGTTCAATTTCAAATCCAACAATAATTCCAAAATGTTTAGCTTTGTGTTCACAAATTCCGGTAATTCTCTCAAAATTTTATTTTAAAAAATATTTTTTTTAAAAGGTTGATTGGCTTTCACAAAAACGCCGTTCTTCCAATACTTATAGTAATTAAATTTATTTATTGAAGATTTTATTTGTTTTTAGGGCCATTAGAAATTTTACTTAAAAAAGTGATTGAAGTTCATCGACAAAAAGATAGGTTAGAAATTTAAATTTTTTAAATTAAATTGTGGGAGATATTATTATTTTGTTAGCTTTCCAATAAATCCAAAAGCTAACAAAATACAAGAGGGAAGGCTAGTCAAAATACTAAAAGTATTTAAAATTATATTAGAGTTTAAAATCTCATCCAGCTAATAAAATTAGAAATATTAAGTAGTAGAAAATTAAATTGTTGTAAGTCTAACAAGGAACCATTCTTTACTGTGACTACGAATTTGATATATTTTTTGGTACCATTCGATAGAGCACAATCAACTTAGTATTGTGGCGTTATCCGTTTTCTTGCAAAATTAGTTTGGGCCGAGTTATGGCCGTTCAAATTTCCAGTCCATGGGAGTGGTTGAGTATAATGAAAAAACCTATAAGAAGCGCGCTGTTACTTTTTTCCACTTTCTCTGCTTTCTTCACATTGTTTTGCAAAGAGGAAAAAGGAATGCAAGAGGCGCGAGGAAAAAAAGAAGGGAGAAAAATGTAAGACACAATAAACAAAGAGAAGAGGCGTGGCTTGGCTCTTTGAGGATGAAAAATAAGAGAGAAGTTGTTTATTTACCCTATAACTTCAGACTCTAGCGTTCAACTTTGAACGGCCATAACTCGGCCCAAACTAATTTTGCAAGAAAAAGGTTAGCGCCACGATACTAAGTCGAGGGTCCTCTATCGAATGGTACCAAAAAATATATCAAATTCGCAGTCACAGTAAAGAATGGTTCCTTGTAAGTAATTAAAAATTTTTTGTTGGGAGTTGTTTAATCAAATGTTTTAGTTTCTCTACAATAATTTGTCCCGCCAAAATAGTAAAAAATAAAAAATATTTAATTAATAATTAAAGGAAATTTGCTGAACAAATACAAAATTTCGTTAATTTGTTATCTGCTTCAATAATCAAAACAGAAGAGGAGGAAGAAGATGATGAATAGTTTAGAAAATGAAAAGTCCGGTTTGTCTATCTCTCACCTGTATATTTTTTTGTTATATTTTTAACTTTGCTATTAACAATAGAATCTAATAAAAATATTAAAAAACTAGCAAATTAAAAATCAAATTTTAAAACAAAAATTAAATTATTTTACAGCATTAAAATTTAAAAATATACCAACATATTCCATATTCAACTAATAAATACATTATATAATTTCCTCTATATTTCAATCTCTTTTCCCTCACAATCCTCCTGTCAATCGCTTCATTCCAATAAATCCAAAGGCTAACAAAATACCAAAACCAATTCCAACAACCACATTCTCTGCCACATTCCTTAAATTGTTAAATAAATATTAAAATGAAGCAAAAATTTACCCAATACTGAGTTCTGTATTATTGCAACAATTCCCCGAGTTTTTGAAATAATTCTAAAATTAAAAATATGAAATCTTTGAAAAAATCAATTTAAAACATTTTAGCCTCACTATAAGCAATCCCAGGATGAGAGATTGCGTCTTATAACCCCACTTAGTGGCCAACCAAATTTTTAAAATTTTTCTTATGTCGAGGTATAATATCTCGTATTGTGTAACTTATAGTGAGGTCCGACTGTATTTCAACTCACTCTTTCAATCATGAGCTCCGCGTTTGTTTCAATAGTAAATGTACATTCACCGCTAAGTTCCCTAAGTAAATTAACAACATCCTCATTTGTCATTCCATCTAATTTCTGGCCATTTACCTTAAAAATAAGGGAGAATATTTCTCTTAAGAAAATAATTATTTACAGCTAAAATCCGATCGCCTTCAGAGATTCCTTCAATGTCTTCTCTTCGTACACGAGAAATGAAAATTCCAGAATGGCCAGGCAAATACTGCTTATCCACGCCACCAACAATATTAATCCCGAAGCCTAGAATTCAAAATTGAATTTAAAAAAAAAACTCTTAAAATTACCTTGCTCGTCATCTTTAAGTATGACGACATCTTTAATCTGACCGATACTTTCAAGTTGTTCAGAACAATCAGAACTTTCAGATTGATGCACCATTTGAAGAATACTAAATATAATCTAATTTTATAATTTAGAAGTGTCATTTGTATTTCAACAAATAAATGGGCTTTTATAGTAAAAGTTTGTGTGTAAGAGGAAGAGTGACGGAATTTTATAGTACCAAAACAGATTTTAAAAAGCAAAAGTTCAAAAAAGCTTCGAAATGAAGAACTTATGTTCGTTCCAGCAAGCTTATTTTTATGTCATTTGAATCAACATGGACTAACTGGATTATACATTTCGAGTTTTCCTCCAAGAACGGGTATCCTATATATTGCGGTTTTGCGATTTTCAGTAGCTTTTTGTATAACTTGCTGGTACTCTTTTAACGTTATTAAACACAGATCACCGACAACTTTAATTTCTTCAATAAATTAAGATAAAAAATCAAAATTTAATCAATACAAGAAAACCAAATTTACTCCTAAATTTAAAAAAGGCTCAAAAACCAACAAAAAAAGGAAATAAAAAAAACTTTTAAATAACAAAATTTAATTTAAATAAATTTATTTTTTCTTTGCAGCAGTCAATCCAGCACCAGCATTAAATTTAAAAAATATAACATCCCCATCTTCAACTACATAATTTCTTCCTTGTTGTCTATATTTACCAGCTCCTTTAACTGCATTTTCATTTAATAATTCCATCAAATCTGCAATCTTCATTACCTCTGCCATAATAAAACCTTTCTCAAAGTCCTAAAAAATTATTTCAATTTTGTTTTTGTAAAAAAATTTTTAAAATCTTTTTTCCGTTTACGATTTTTCGAATGATTCCTCATCTCAATCAGTATGCGGATGGATTTCTTTTCTCAAAAGTAGGGTTGCCGTTTTCGAGTCGGGCCGGTACGAGTTTTTTCGGGCCAAATACTTAGGCCCGACTCGACCTTTCAGTCCGAGTCGGGCCATTTTGGCAAACCTACTCAAAAGGATTCGACAGCCAGGATTATTTTATAAAAAATAATCTGATTGTGAGTTGGAGGTTCCGACTTTAATTAATGAAGTTTACAATTAGTTCCATTTTTCAGATTAATAAATTAAAAACCGTATGAATTCTTCCAGCTGCTTGAGGCGCTTTTGTTCCTTTTTGGATTGTCCAAGCACGAACCTCATCCTTCCCAGCACTTAAAAAATAATCTTTTTCTTAACTAAATTAAAAAACAAACGTAAAGAAATATTCCAAACACAAAGCTTTATAACCAGTTTTAATTATTTTATCTAAAGCACTACTAACACCAGTTTGACTAAAATATTCTGTTCTTGCTGCAGGGTCCATTTCAATAGCTTTGAGTTCAAAAGCACCAGAAAATGGAATTAATACCTTTTTAAATATTAAATTTTATATTTGGATTGGAATATTGGAGGGGTTTCTTAAAAAATTGTTAAATTTGGAAAATTAATTATTAAAACAATGAAAATTAAAAATGTTTGCTAAACGTTTTTGAAGTGTTGCCGACAAAATTAGATGGAAACTTATTCTATTTTTTTGAAAAAAATTGAATAGTATTGATGACTTCATTAAAAAATTTTTTTATAAAAATTCCCTCAAAATATTTTTATTTTTGAGAGAAAAACCCCCAAAAATCCCCCTGAGTAAATAGTTATTAACTAACTTTTGGTTATTAAGAACACGTTACTCAAAGTTTCACACTCTACAAAAAATCATCTCCATATATTTTATATAAAACAAAAACAAACCCCTCCAGGATCATTAGAATCAATCCAAGATTTAATTTTTGGTAGCCATTTATTCTTCTTTTTAATATAATCTGTTTCAGATAAATTAACCAAATAAACGATTGGTTTTGCAGTTAAAAATAAATGTTTATTTAAAATTTCAATTTCTTTTTCGTTCCATTCGTGTTGTCGAACAAATTTTGTCGCCAATAATTCTTTTACTTTAATTAAAGTATCATATTCTAATTTTTTTGTTTTGTCTCCTGCTCGAATTGCTAATTTTTCTACTTTATCTAATGCTGGCTGTAAATATGCCAAATCTTTTAGTCGAAGTTCTGAACTTATTATTTCCAAATCACGAATTGGGTCAACCTCTCCTGAAAAATAAAATTTTGTAAAGTATTGAATTAAAAAAAAAGATTTTGAACTCAAAAGTAATTGCGTGCCAGAATTTTCTTCTATGGAACTTTCGTCTCCAAATATAAGAGAGTGCCGGAATTTTGGTCACCACAATTTTTCGGAACTTTGGTCACCAATTTTTTTGGAATTTTGGTCACCAGCGGAATTTTGGTCACCAAGTCAAAAAACGGAATATTGGGCACTGAATTTTGGTCACCAATAGGAATTTTGGTCACCAAATGGAAAAAATAATCTTATCTATAACTGATATCAAAATGATAAAAAAATGATTCTTCAACCCCCATTTGATCAATTTCAATGTTTGTCACTTTCCAGGCTGATCAATCTCTCAGTTGATCACTCTCGATCACTCTCACGGATGATTGATTAACTGTGAAAGTGATCAACATTGAAATTGATCAAATGGACTTTGAAAAACAATTTTATATCACTTTGATATCACTTTTAGATAAAATTCTTTTTTTCCGTTTGGTGACCAAAATTCCGATTGGTGACCAAAATTTCAGTGCCCAATATTCCGTTTTTTGATTTGGGGACCAAAATTCCGCTGGTGACCAAAATTCCAAAAAAATTGGTGACCAAAGTTCCGAAAAATCGTGGTGACCAAAATTCCGGTGACCAAAATTCCGTACACCATATAAGAATCATGGTTTCGTAACTGTAAATAAGGCCAAAGGTCGGTTACTTATTCACTATTTAACGGGTGGGGGCTAACTCAAGGAACGGACAGGTTAAGGAACGACAAGTCAAGGAAAAGACAAGTCAAGGAACGACCAACTCAAGGAATGACCAACTCATGGAATATTTTAAAAATCGGTATTCTTTGAAAAATCAGAATTTTTCAGATTTTTTTTTTGAATTTTGTTTTTTGAAGTATTCTAATTTGTTTTAAATTCTTATTTTTCAAAAATATTCAGATTTTTAAAAAAATTCCGATTTTTAAAATATTCCATGAGTTGGTCATTCCTTGAGTTGGTCATTCCTTGAGATGGTCATTCCTTGATTTGTCTTTTCCTTGACTTGTCGTTCCTTGACTTGTCCGTTCCTTGAGTTAGCCCGACACGCTATTTAACAACAAATTCTTAATTCTAGGAAGTAAAGCCAACGGATATTTTAATAAGACGACTATCATATATGTAATATATACAATACCAGAGACGAACGTTTAAATTCCCCGGAACCAAAAATTAAAAGAAGACCTTCAACATGAGTAACTTCGCTATCTTCAAATGCTCTACATAAATGAAAGAGAGCGTCACATGCACCAACATGCGAAAGGAAAGCATTTCCAAGACCCTGACCTTCGGAAGCACCTAAAATTGATTTTAAAAGAATTTTCTGAAGGACAAAAAAAACCTTTAACAAGCCCAGCAATGTCCACAACATTCAAAAAAGCAGGCACTCTACTTAAAGGCTTATAATGTTCTACCAACCAATCAAATCTAACATCATCAATAGGTACTCTACTTTCATTCGGGTCAATCGTACAAAATGGATAATTCTCTGCCTGAGCTTCTGATTTTGTTAAAACATTAAAAAAGGTAGATTTCCCAACATTTGGTAAGCCAAGAATTCCCATCTTTAAATTTTAAAAATTATAATAATGCGGCCTCGTCTGAAATATTTGTATGCGGGTATGCCGAGTGGGTAAAATTCGATGATAAATTAGGAATAATTTAAATGCAACGACCAATGAAAGTTATAAAAAGTACTAAAAACGAGTAGAATCCTTCCCAAGCGATGCCATCCAATTTTAGATAAAAAAAAATAATTAAAAATACCCTTAAATTCGTCGACAGTCTACCAAGAATTGGTCCATGTTGATGCTCTTCTTGTTTTTTAGGAGGCATTGTTGAATAAATCTATCTGATAATTGCCTTAATAAAGGCAAACATACAAAATATTAAATTAAAGAATGGTTTAGAACATGCGTCGCATGAGAATATAATCAAATAAATGTGTTTGATTTTCCGAATTTTTGATAAACTAACAAAAATGCATGCCAATGTGTTAGGCAAACTAGTGTTAGGCACGATACTGTAATACCGATACTGTACAACAAAATGTCACGGAACCCCAAGAAAACTCAGAACATCAAAAATACTCAAATTGGATTCATGTCCTAAACCAGAGACGAGAAAATTTAGAGAACGAACTTTAAATTAAAAAAAATAAAAATTCCAAGTGTTTTCATCACATATTTAATCCCAAAAAAGAGAAATTTTTTGATCATAAATAAAACAAAAAAAAAATAAAGAGAAAAAGACAACCAAAATATTATAAGAGTTCTTTTAGAACATTTTCCAAAAAATTTTTTTTTCAACAGATTCTCTCAATCTTCAATTTCCAATTAAGCTCTCTCTTCATTTAAAATCTTGGAGGCCCATCCAACATATTATAACCAGGCTGCATTGCTCCCATTCCAGGACCACCAATACCACGAACAGCCCCTTGAAGTCCTAAAAAAATTTTTTCATTTTTTCAAATAAATTTGAACTTTTCTTAAAAAACTTTAAACATAATTTTGTCAAAAATATCTAAAAAATTACCATGCGGCACCGACGGCATTCCAGGCCCTGGAGGAATCATTCCACCACCCATAGGAGGAACACCCCGTCCAGCACTCTTCGCCTGTCCAGCCCCTCCAAGTCCTCCAGCACGAGGCATCTGAACTCCAGAATCATCACGCGCTGGCGGACCCTCAACCGAGATGGAAATTATTTTATCTCCTCGAAGAAGTACAAGACCAAGAATTCGCTTCTCTTCTTCATTGACCGGTTTCTTTCCACCAGTCTTTGTCCTCACACGACGAAGTTCTTCACAATCAGACAAAATGACGTTCATATGCTTGTCAAAAGCTAAAAATTTAAACAAAAATTAAATCAACACAGAATCCAAAAATTATTCTAACAATAAGGCCTAGAACAGGATAGGACCGGTTCCACTCCTTGTTTCCTAACAATTTTCCTGAAGGCCACAGATGAAACCAAAATCGGTAATTTACGATTTTTCCGATTGGGGCTCGTAAAGGTTTTCCAAAATTCAAGGATTAGTTCTTAAAAATAAACTTGAAAAACCTTTAAAGTAGCCAATGAAAGTTCGATTGTCCTGCACAATTACTTTCATCTTGTAATTGATGTGCTGCATCATCTTGTTGTTCTTTGAGATTGTCTGGAAATTTTTGAGAAATCATATTAGAAATTTAAAACAAAATCTAACCATCTTAGCGTTTTTGAGCTTTTAGCAATTCCAAACAATAAAATTAAAAGAAAATTTAATATCTAAAAGAAATTAAAAAAATAAAAATATTTAGATGGACCTAATATTAAGACGCACAATGGACCCAAGACAATCTCGTTAATATAGTTAATCTATATATTATATCAAAAAACTAATAAAGCAGTAACTTAATAATTTAATGCGCAATAGCAAAAAAATGTAATTTTAAAAGGTGCAGCTGGAATTTCTGAAAATTTTCAGAAAATAAAAGAAAATTGACCAAACAAAAAATTTACAAAAAGTACCACAATGAAATTTAGGGTAGGGGACGATTCAGTATCGCCGATTCAGTCTCGCCGATTCAGTATCGCCGATTCAGTATCCGCCGATTCAGTATTCGCCGATTCAGTATAGCCGATTCAGTATACGTGGAAAAGGGGACGATTCAGTATACGTATATTTTTGGGCTAGAAAATCTTTTTTCTTGTAGATTTTTTTCGTGTTTCTTACTTTCTACGATCTATAGAACATCTTTAAAGCTAGCCAAGTCTTAATTCTAGGCTTCTCTTAGGCTTTTTCTGGCTTAGGGTGAAGTTTTGGTCTCGACTTTTTTTCTTCGGGGAACAAAAATTTTTTAAAAAATGAGTCAAATAAACAAAAATTTATCAAAAAATAGATAAGAACAAGGTCTACATTTCACTTATTAGATTTGGTACTTATGAAGATGGAGGTGCCCTTTCTGCGGACTTTTTTTTGCGGACTTTTCTTCCTTTCTTTTTAAATGTTTTGGTTGTTTTGCTTTCAGCAAGTTTTGCTAGTAGCAATTAACTGTCAAAGGATTATTTTTTATGCCAATTTGAAAAATATGTGTTTACGATTAATTTGAATATTATACAGTCGTGGAAAAAAGTATGGAAGCGCTAGAAAATTTTTTCTTAATTCATAATTTTTCATTCAAAAAATACGTTCTATATACCAATCGAAAGCTCAATTCGTATCTCAGTTGACATGTTTCTGCATTTTTCATGAAAATGAAAATTGGCCGAGATAATCCGGATCTGCCGGATATACCAAATCCCACTTTTTCGGAAAAATTTTTCGGAACAAATTTAACAAACCCAAATGATAAAGCATATTTTTCTGAGTATTCTCCAAAAAACCGCTTAGAAATATCTTTTTCTGGTCCAGAGATATGATTTTTTGAAAATGGCATTTTTCGCTTAAAAATTGAATTTTTTGCAAAAATAGACGAAAAATGCGATTTTCAAAAAATCATATCTCTAGACCGGAAAAAGATATTTCTAAGCGGTTTTTTGGAGAATACTCAGAAAAATATGCTTTATCATTTGGGTTTGTTAAATTTGTTCCGAAAAATTTTTCCGAAAAAGTGGGATTTGGTATATCCGGCAGATCCGGATTATCTCGGCCAATTTTCATTTTCATGAAAAATGCAGAAACATGTCAACTGAGATACGAATTGAGCTTTCGATTGGTATATAGAACGTATTTTTTGAATGAAAAATTAAGAATTAAGAAAAAATTTTCTAGCGCTTCCATACTTTTTTCCACGACTGTAAACGTAAAAAATGTTACAATCAATTAAAAATTTTACTTTAACTAAATTTTCAATTACCCGATGATGAATTTCAACAATGGATCACTGATCTCAGAATGCTTCATAGAAAAAGAATTCTTTAATTGTGGAACAGAAAAGCGGGTAATTTCAAGCCTTGTTCCCCCCCCCCCCCCACCCATTATTTTTATTACCTAAGATTGTACAAAATGGTCAGATTTCCTTCTTCCTCTCTTTCCTTTATTTGAGCTTGGCATATTCAAACAATAGACATTGTTGATAATGGGGATATTAAAATTGATTGAGTTGTTCAATATTTAGTTCAATTTATTTTTTCAGTTGTTCAATATTTTTAAATAGAAGTAAGAATGTAATGTTTTTACACAGAAATTCGTAATTTTATACACCAAATCAATTTTATTTAATTCTTTGTTACATTGTTTTCGAAGGCAAAAAATAAGTGTATGACTAGAAAATTAATCTTCTCCCTATCAATGTCTCTTGTTTGAATATGCCACAGGGCAAATAGAGGAAGGAGAGAAAGCAGAAAATCTGACCTTTATGTACAATCTTAGGTAAGAAAAATAATTGGGGGAGGGCCATTGACAGTTAGTTGCTACAAGTAAAACATTTAAATAAGGGAAGAAAAGTCCGCAAAAAAAGTCCGCAGAAAGGGCACCTCCATCTTCATAAGTACCTTAGATTTGTGGCCCTAAAGAGGACCAGGCAACCACCTCAACAGCAAGCTGCTCGACACAAATAAAAACAAGTCCAGGACTGGATTTAAATTAAAAAAAAATTTTAAAATAAAAAATGGAATGGGGAGTGGAATTGGGAAGTAAGAAATCTCCGCAAAAAGCCCGCAAAAATTCGTAGGGATAACGGCCAGGGAGCTTCTGGGGCTATAGTTCCCCCCTGTACATAATGGGGAAAATTAAAAAAATTCAAAAAGCCAAAAAACTAAAAAATAAACCACGTGTCTGTAGTAGAAACCTCGCCATTCACTGTAGAATTCTCGCCGTCTTGAGATATTAAGAAAATTGAAGAAATTTAAAAATTTTTAAAAATTAAAAAAAATTCTAAATTTTCCATAAAAATTATTTTTTCGTTAATAATTGTTGTTGGTTATTGCTAATTGTTATGGTAGACCACCTAAAGAACAAAGAAAATGCTTAAAACGAAAAAATAAATCAGTTCGTTTCCAAAAATTTCTATTTTTAGGGTATTTTATTCTACGTATACTGAATCGTCCCCTTTTCCACGTATACTGAATCGGCTATACTGAATCGGCGAATACTGAATCGGCGGATACTGAATCGGCGTAGACTGAATCGGCGATACTGAATCGGCGAGACTGAATCGGCGATACTGAATCGTCCTTAACCGTGAAATTTGGGAACGAGACTATTGAGTACCGCCGATTGAGTACCGCCGTTTGAGTACCGCCGGTTGAGTACCGCCGTTTGAGTCCCTGGCCGTTTGAGTACCGCCGATTGAGTACCGCCGGTTGAGTCCCCACCCATATGGGGACGTTTGAGTCCCCGACTTGTTTTTGGCATTTAAAGGGATTACGTGGGATATCTGGAGTGATATTGGTGAGATTATAGGTGATAATGATAAATATGGAGTGATTTTGAGCGATCTGGAGTGATTAAAGGGGATATATAGACTGATTTTAAGGTTTGCATACAAGTATGTATGATTCCCAGGACTGAATTATTGCGGGTATGGTACTACTATGGGGTATATTATATATGAATATAATGAGGGATTATAGGTACCTATCAAAATACCGGGTATCACCTCCAAATTGGTAACATACCCGTAATACATCCATTATGGGAATCATACACATGTATAGTTGGTGCCTTTATTTTCGGGTAATAATTATATCCCACGTTGGGGGATATAATCTATAGTCCCTCGTTAAATCGCATATAATGTACCCCAAAGTAGTAGCATATCCACAATAGACCCGTACTGGTAATCATAAATGTGTAAATCCTAGAATGAAATACGGGGACTCAAACGTCCCCACATGGGTGGGGACTCAACCGG